AACCTTTTCAAGTTTCAACCCTCTCAAATTTCCACCTTCTCAAGTTTCCACCTTCTCAAATTTCCACCTTCTCAAATTTCCACCTTCTCAAGTTTCCACCTTCTCATATTTCCACTCTCTCAAATTTCCATCTTCTCAAGTTTCCACCCTCTCAAATTTCAACCTTCTCAAGGTTCCACCTTCTCAAATTTCCACCCTCTCAAATTTCCACCTTCTCAAGTTTCCACCTTCTCAAATTTCCACCTTCTCAAATTTCCACCCTCTCAAGTTTCCACCTTCTCATTTTTCCACCTGCTTAAATTTCCACCTTCTCAAATTTCCACCCTCTCAAGTTTCCACCTCAAATTTCCATATTCTTAAATTTCCACCTTCTCAAATTTCCATATTCTCAAATTTCTATCGGTAATAAAAACGATACACGAATGAACATTTACATTTGTCTCCATCTAACGGAATTAATCATCATTAATATTTCTTCTTACATTCGCATGTTTCGTTTCAATTTTATTCTCTGCTTTTCCTCTCGTAATTTAATTGTGCATTTTGCAATCGTTCTTGAATAAATAGTTTACTCGTTCTATATATAATTTATTACGACACTTTATTCGACCACGGATCTCCTCGCCTTGAACAATTTCCACCCTCTCAAATTTCCATATTTTCAAATATCCACCTTCTCAAATTTCCAAATTGTGAATTAAATAATAATATGATAATGTTCGAGTATCATCGACTCATCATATCGATGCATCAAACCGATTAAAAGTTTCAAGTAAAATACGGGTGAAAATTGCTGAATGAGAATGGAGCGAAACGCTGTCAGATCGACGCAAACCGCGTCGAATAAAATACAAACAAAAGAGTAGCAGGGCGTTTAATCGTCTCGACGGTTGAAAAAGAATAAAGAAAAAAGGAAACGAATCGAAAGCGTAACCGATATCATACGGAGGAATAAAACGTGCTCGAACGTCGATTGATTCGTTTATTGAACGACCGTCTGTCGCAGACTCCGAGTTGTCCAATTACCCAATATGTCGTTTCAACTCGATACGTGATATCTCAGATAGTTAAAGTATCGATTTTTTTGGAGGAAACTCAGTGAACTTTTGAGGGTGTGCCATCGACTTTATGGGAGATTCTGAGGGTTTTAATTATGTATTTAGAAATTTGGGAATTTGGGATGTAGTGGGTTTTTAGGGTTTGGAGTTGAGTTTTGGAATTTTTCCAATTTTTAAGGTCACAGATTTTGAAATTTTATAATTTCCAAATTCTCAAATTTTACAATTTTTAAATATTTATATTTTCAAATTTTACAATTTTACAATTTTACAATTTTCAAATTTCCACTTTCCCAAGCCTTTAAATTCGCAAATTTCCAAATTGCCAAATCTTTAACTTTTCAAATTTCCAAATATTCACCTTCTCAAATTTCCACCTTCTCAAATTTCCATATTCTCAAATTTCCACCTTCTCAAGTTTCCACCTTCTCAAATTTCCACCCTCTCAAATTTCCACCTTCTCAAGTTTCCACCTTCTCAAGGTTCCAGCTACTCAAGTTTCCACCTTCTCAAATTTCCACCATCTCATATTTCCACCTTCTCAAATTTCCACCTTCTCATATTTCCACCCTCTCAAATTTCCACCTTCTCAAGTTTCCATATTCTCAAATTTCCACCATCTCATATTTCCACCTTCTCAAATTTCCACCTTCTCATATTTCCACCCTCTCAAATTTCCACCTTCTCAAGTTTCCATATTCTCAAATTTCCAATTTCCTAAAATTCCACCTTCTCAAATTTCCACCTTCTCAAGATTCCATCTTCTCAAGTTTCCACCTTCTCAAATTTCCACCTTCTCAAGTTTCCACCTTCTCAAATTTCCACCTTCTCAAATTTCCACCTTCTCAAATTTCCACCTTCTCAAATTTCCACCTTCTCAAATTTCCACCTTCTCAAATTTCCACCTTCTCAAATTTCCACCTTCTCAAATTTCCACCTTCTCAAATTTCCACCTTCTCAAATTTCCACCTTCTCAAATTTCCACCTTCTCATATTTCCACCCTCTCATATTTCCACCTTCTCAAGTTTCCATATTCTCAAATTTCCACCTTCTCTTATTTCCACCTTCTCATATTTCCACCTACTCAAGTTTCCACCTTCTCATATTTCCACCTTCTCAAATTTCCCCTACTCAAATTTCCACCTTCCCAACTCTCCCACTTCCCAAATCCCCACCTCTCCAAATTTCAAAACTCCCAAACCGCCATCTCACAAGAAAAATAAAAGAAATCAATACTTAATGAAAGGTACGTATATAGAGATGTAATCTAATATACATATAGTCATCGGGTAGTAAACAAGCCGCGATAATCTCGCTTCATCTTCCTTTTCTTAATTACTGTTTCGCTTTAGCCACGGTAGAAGATTGATAGCATGCAATGTTGCATGTCCGGCAAGTTAGTTTTAATAAAGCTTTCGGTCACGTAAACGATCCCACTGTAATGTTCTATATATGAACTGCATCAAAACGGTGATGCTATCAGAATAACGTTTTAAATAATATTTTAGAAAATCATTCGTCAAATGATTGATGAGAAATGCACTCATGACGCGCTCTTGACATATTGGTGACGCACTCTTAATACACTCGTGACGCACGCATGACGGATTTGAGACGCACTCTTCATGCGCTGTTGACATATTCGTGACGCACTTCTGACGTATTCGTGACGCACTCATGACGAATTCGGGACGCATTCGTGACGCACTCATGGCGAATTCGAGACGCACTCTTGACATATTCGTGACGCACTCCTGACGCATTCGTGACGGACTCATGACGCATTTGTGACGCACTCATGGCGAATTCGAGACGCACTCTTGACATATTCGTGACGCACTCCTGACGCATTCGTGACGCATTCGTGACGCACTCATGACAAATTCGAGACGCACTCTTGACATATTCATGACGCATTCGTGACGCATTCGTGACGCACTCATGATGAATTCGAGACACACTCTTGACATTCGTGACGCACTCTTGACATAATCATACTTCAGCTGTCATCAGTTTTACTCGAATTTTTAATACGCTTCAGATTGGAGTTAAAGTTCAATTTACATGGTCATCGCATAATACCAAATTGACATAACATTTCAACTTTCTTCGTTTTAATATTGTAGTGATTATTTACGCACCTGACAAATCACAGTGCAAGGATACCATTCACAATCATACCATTCGACAGGTATGTGACGCACTTCATATACAATCTGGCCATCAAATTAGGACCACGTAAAATTTCACTTTTGTGGCTATAACATTGATGGCTATAGCAGCCTTAAGACTATTGATGTAAGTAAGCTAAAAACGTGGATACTAACAGTTATGATCCTGATAATGGCTGTGACAATTATGGTGATGATGATGGCTATAATAGCTTGACTATAACAGCCTTAAGACTATTGATATAGGGAAGCTGGAAATGTGACTGCTGTGATGATGTGGATGACGGGTATGACTATTATACAGTCCCTGGCCATCGAATTACCACGTACGAAAATTTCACTTGTATGGCTATAATTATGTCACGAACTCAAAATTGTCTTAGGTCGAAATTATTACTGAATACGTTGATAACATATACATAGCAATTTGTTACCGTGATAATAAATTGTGTGGGTGATGAGCGATTAAGGGTGCGAGCGTTTACGTTAGGAGTATCGATGGCACTAGAGGTGAAATGGGTGCGAGCGTTTAACGTTAGGAGTATCGATGGCGTTTGGAGGTGAAATTTGAACGCCATAGAAAATGTCTGCCTGCTCAAAGACTAGTTTGCAACTTTCCACGTTACCGAGTTGAAAAGAATTGTTTAGGAAAATAACGAAAATATAAATTTCGTCCCGCTTCTGATTTATCATCGCATCGACAGATGATTTCTGAAGCAAAATGGCCGACCTCTCGATCGCGTCGTAAAACGTTAAACGTTGTCAGAAACTTGATACCATTTAACCTTTATTAAAAACATAAAATATTGCAAGGACGAAAATATTATAAAGGGTGACGTTCGATAGGGTTTTATCCTGTACGCTTTCAGCATAACTCACGGTTTCACGAGTTGTAAAATTTCTAAGTGGAGCTACTAGTTTACGTTCGGCCGCCATTGCGGATATCGTAAAATCGTACGGGGATTTCAGAAACCCGTCATAAACTTCACGA